AAACATAAGAGCTTTAGTTATTGGTACTTCAACGTTTGAAGTTGAATCTACTTTAGTATTCGGTACACCACAGTTGGGAGTTTCGTTAAATAGGTCATACGGAGTTTTCTCTGGCCCAACAACGATGTCTATTGGTCGAAATGAGGTTTATTCGAAAGAAATAAATACAAATGCGACAAAAATTTCATTGAAGGATGGAAGATGGTTGCTACTTCTTTCTGCTGCTGTAAGAGACCATTTAACAGTGAAAGATATTATTTCTTTGTCAGAAAAAGCAAAAGATGCAAATAATTTTGCTCAAAGAATAAGAGATGCAACATACTCCGCCCTAAACTGTGATAATATTACAGTAATTGTTGTAGATCTTGAAAAAATGCCTTGATTTATTTAATATTAATATTATCTTTGGAATTTTCAAAGATTTCCAGTTAATTGTATAATATTTTATCTTTATTTTATATATAAAAAGTCATGTTATACTACATATACTTTTCTACAATGCATTTCTCCTCATTTTGTTGTATTTCATTATCTAGAGTAATAATTTCGGAATATTACTTGATTATTTTTATTATTGATTACAATAATAGCAAGATTTAACATCAAAATACCCTCAATTTGAGGGTACATGTTTACTATTTTTCAAAGATTGCAATAGTTTTTCTATGAGCCCTATTGATTAGATCATATAGGCACTATTCTTCAAGCATTTTTTCCTTTAGGATAAAAATGTTTCAAACTGAAGTGAAGTTTCTCCATTTTCTGCCATTCCTGCCTTTTGTCTTAAAATTATGATAGCAGCTAATCCTTTTCATAAATTATTTAGCAACATCTTATGCATATATGAGATATTGTTAAATGATATTATAGGAACGAGAAAACTCCGTGGCGAATCCAGTAGTACAGATGAGAAATTGTTGATGATTTTGGAGAATTCTTGGTATGAGATATTACAAGAATTCAATTCCCTGATTAGAAGTGATTAAGAGATTCGCCCTGGTAGAAAAGAATATTGATTATTATAAGGTCGATGAAAAAATGAGCGTTTTTAAAAAACCGCCGTTTGAGAGGAAAATTGAGAGCCCCGATGTATACTTTTTGACATTGTCAAAAACTTTGAAAGGACTAAAAATTTTAGTGTCAGAAAGTTTACAAATGTATACTTTCTGACAAACAGACTCTCAGAAAGTACTCAAACTGCGGTTTTTAATTTCCGCACTTTTTTTGGCGACTTTATTTCAATTCATTTAACATTTTTATTATTAACTAAGATTCTAGATTTATTGGTTTCAGTAATTTTCAATAAAATGTAATGTCCCCCAAAATTAGCTAAAAATTTTAGGGGTTGCGAGTGCGGTACATTTTAGGAAAAATGACATTTTAACTTTACAAAGTTTACATTTGTAAAATGACATTTTTGCCACTTGTTTGCCAATACCCAAAAAAAGTTTGGCGCCAAATCGCAAAAGTGTCATAATCTCATGGTGGACCACAGCTGGTGTCGCCGCCGACTATCTACTTGCTGGAATGCTACGCAGCCTTTGATCTGGCCAATCATAGTGCTGTTCCATCCACATCAGCAAGTGATTTCGGCTGGAGATCTCCAATGGGTCTTCGAGTAAAAGTACATTCTCTGATACATAAATTGTCAGAGACTATAAGTACACTACATTAGGACAGAGTTCTTCCGAAGCCTCTCATCAAATGAGAGACTTCGGAAAAACTCTGTCCTCTTCGATTAATTACAGAATCCTAGGCCTTTTGGGAACTAGGAAAGTGTAGTAAGAGTACTTTAAGGCAATGCTCATTTCGTAATGAACATTGCCCATTTCGAGTCAACTTACATCCATGACCCTCAAGGGTTCAGGGAGTAGTACTGTAGTCCATGAGAGCAATAACGTATAACTAATATCGCCAGAAGCACAACAATTACGCAGCCTAGCTACGCTATCTTAGCAGCTAGGCTGCATAGATATTGTGCTTCTGGCTTGCAGAAACCTCATGGAAGACCCATTGGAGATCTCCAGCCGAAATCACTTGCTGATGTGGATGGAACAGCACTATGATTGGCCAGATCAAAGGCTGCGTAGCATTCCAGCAAGTAGATAGTCGGCGGCGACACCAGCTGTGGTCCACCATGAGATTATGACACTTTTGCGATTTGGCGCCAAACTTTTTTTGGGTATTGGCAAACAAGTGGCAAAAATGTCATTTTACAAATGTAAACTTTGTAAAGTTAAAATGTCATTTTTCCTAAAATGTACCGCACTCTAGGGGTTGCTAATGACAGAAACGTGATATTTGAATGGGGCTTCCGTTTTTTGTCTCATACCTATAATATATGTTCTATTTCTGATTATCTTTCGATATATCATAAATTTAATCTTTTTTTGGAAGCAACAAAATTTCGGATTTCCTAAAAATTAATCAAAACTTTAATATAGAAATAGCATATGATTTTAATGCGATTGCACAAGGATTAAAAAGAATTTTGGAAGGCATAAAAAATTGTGATGTTTACAATTTATTTTGACACTCAATGAGCTTTTAAAAAAATTGTTTTTAAGACTAAAAATTAAGTTTATTCAAACAACAATGATACAAATAGGTAATTTACTTAGTATATTTTTATCTCCCTCAAGCTCGAGTCTCGATTTCTTCTTTGAGCTCGAGATTGAATAGTATAATCTAGCCAAAGTAGTAGGATATGACGGGTTTAGTGACTTTTTTTGTTACATCTATATATAGACGATGCATTAAAATATATTTATTTATAAATCATTAAAAAATTAACATTAATTTTAAAATAATTTATTTTTTTTATCTTTTATAAAAGAAGCTATATATAGATGATGTCAGATATTCCGCGATTAATTAAACATTGTTTAAATCCTGAATGGGTTAAACTTCAATTTAAAAATGAAGATTGTGAATTATTAAATGAATATGAAAGCCAAAATAAGCTAATGAGGTATAAATATAATGATAAAGAATATTTAATTTCATGGAATCAATGGAGTCATAATCAAAGACCTCATAAACGAGAAGAAGAAATTGAAAATAATGAAATGGAAATCATTGATGACATTAAAGAGGATGGAATTCCTAAATTTTGTAGAAAAACCTTTAGAACTAAGTTAGGAGCATATAAACGTAGAGTATTAAATCCTGAATATCTTAAACATCAATTTAAAAAGGAAGACTGTGAATTATTAAACGCTAATGAATATGAAAATGCTAAATCAAAACTGAGATATAAATATATTGGAAGTGATGAAAGGTGTAAAGATAAAGATAAAGTTTATTCAGTTTCATATAATAACTGGCGCACGTTAGGGATAAGAAAACATTTAGGAGATTATGGGAAATGTTCTGAATTCTTTAAATCTAGTATATACGAGAGAGTAAAAGAAATCAGAAATAATTATTTTCATGAATAAAAAATAAACTTTAAAAATTCATGTCTTACATTTTTGAATAATTTATTTTTTTTTAATTCGTAAGAAATGAGTGAATCAAAATTCGTGACTGTGAATCAATTAATGGATAAACTTTCACCAATTCTCACCCATGTTAAACAAGTAGACGTTTATTTTGATGATTGCATACAAAGTTTATTTTATAAAGGTAAGTTTAATATTAAACCTATTGCTTTTGCATTTGATGGTAAATTAATCGAAAATTCAAAAATTTGGGAATTAATTCCGGATATTGAATTTATAACAAATATTAAGGATAAATGGTTTAAACAACAAAACCACTTCACTAAAGTTCTTTGTAGATTAATGATTAAAACTGAGGAAAAAGAATTTAACGGGTTTAAATATCATCCATGTAAAATTTTAGAACTTGGTAACGAAAAACTTCAGAAAAAATTAAACGAAAGACTATCAAAAGATAGAGTTGAAAGAGTAAATAAACTCGCTAAAGGTAATGGTAATGATGAAGAAGAATTTGATGAGTTCAACATTGAACTTTAAGAAACTAATGATTATTTGAATTTATGAAATCAATTATTTGATTCATTCTTTCTTCAATCTCTTCTATTCTTTTTGTTAAATCATCTATTTTCATTAATGAGGTGATTCTTGATTGAGGAATAGATTTCAAACTAACCACTCCTTTTATTTTTGAAATTTTGAATCCATCAACTTTAAACATTTTATTCAATTTACATGTTGTCAATTCTTCAAATAATTTTTTATTATTAGCATAATAGTCATTAAATTCTTCAACAGATGAAAAAATTTTTATTTCAGTAATTGGTTTAACAACGTTTATTTTTTGTTGAACATTTTCACTTTCATTTATTTCTTCCTCCTCTGTTTCATTCATTTTTAAAATCGGTTTCATTTATCATTAAATAAAAATTAGAATATAAGTGATGAAATATATTTTTTAATTAATATTAAATCAGAAATGGCGGCAGGATTCTTTAAAAAATTATGGGATGGAATTAAGAAAGCTGCGGGTTGGGTTCATAAAAAGATTATTAAACCCATTGCAAACTTTTTGGCACCAGTAGCGAAAACGGCAGGAACTATCATAGGTGGAGTATTAGGTGCTAAAGCAGGTAATCCGGCGATGGGAGCACAAGCAGGTAACGCAGTTGGTGGAATTGCTGAAGGAATACTTAATAAAATAGGAGGTAGATAGTGGAAAAATAAATATGAGATCCTATGGATCATCTCGCCGCTTAGCGGCTTAAAATTATTTTTATCTTAGTATCGGTTGTAGTCTTTGATAAACTTTTTCTCCTTTATTTAAAACTTCTCTTATTGGGGCAGCTTTTGGTGTTATTGATTCAGCAACGTCACTAATTGCTTCTTTATTCTTAAATATCCAATTTGCCCCCTTCTTCAATGTTTCCCAAACTTTACTCGCTCCTCTTTTTACTCTATTCCACAGTTTCTTAAATATACCTGCAGCCATAGTTGATTATTTCATAAAATTAAAAATTCATTTTCATCTTTTAATTTTGATTTTTTATTTATTAATAAATGACGACTAACTATTTGGTGCCAAACACTAAACCGATTAATGGAAATGTATTTCATTCATTCGAAAAGATAAATGAAATATTCGCAAAGAATGACGGTAGAAGATATTATAGAGAACTTGAAAGTTCATGCTATGACTCTGATGCTCCATATTTTGATGATAAACAAACTCATTTAAGAATTACAAATCCGGCTCATGATGTGAACCAATTAGGTGACACATATATTAAACGCAAAGTTAAAGCAACTCTAGTTTCAAATAAAGCTTTCACATGTGATGCCGCTTTTAAATGCATGCGTTTATTCGTTGGTTACAAATCATCAAATCAAAGCTTTAAACAATTAGAAGTAGAAACCGAAAGAGGTGATGCCGGTTATCTTCAGATGGATTGCGCCCGTGAATCTTTCGCATTTGCAACATATAAACCGAAATCAGAAAGGAAAGTTAAAAAGTTTGTTCATCGTTATATATAATGTTCAAAAATATGATAACTCAGTATGTGGTAAATATATTGACCCTTCAGAAGTTTTCAAGAAAGCAAATGAAGAAGTTGATGTCACTTTTGATATGATTATTCCGGTAAATGATTTGTTAGCATTTCAGGCGTTCGATGATTATCCTAAATCATTTGGTGATATCATTCTTAAATATTATGTTTTCAGGGATACTTAGTATTTTGTCAGGTTGACCCGTTAAGAGTTGCTGATTTACAAAATTACGTTTATGAAAAGATAACTGATGAAAATTATGAAAAGATTATGAATCATGTTTATAAATGATGCGCAAATTCCAACAAATTGGACTTCCTGCCAAATTAATTACAAGCTTAGCCGCTACAACTGCTGACGCAACAGTTGATGACGTTATTATTTCATGCACAAGATGGAAGTTTTAGAGGATAAATGCATTACAACCAGGATACGGTTTAATTGAAGAATCAGTTAAAGCAATACCACGTTTATTCAGTAAGGAAGATCCATTCATGATTCCAGCTCAACATATTGACGTTCGTTCACTAAATGGAGGTTGCATCACTCCTGAAGGTATCAGCTCAGATTTCTCATACGCTCTTCATAATGTTACAGATGTTGTGTTAGCATTTCCGAAGAATGCAATGCAAAGAACAGTTTTAGAAAAATCCAATGCTTCGAGGTCTTCATGTCACTATAGATTCCAGAAACTTCCCCGATCAAGCGATGACCACAGTGGGTGACATATTTCTTACACGTATGCTTCAAGCTTCTGATTTAGATGGAGTGAATGAATGCACAGAAGAATACGAGGACTCATTAACTAGAGCCACTGAATGCAGATGATGGCACGCCATTAGCTAGAACATGGAAAGACAAACTTCATTCTTATGCACTATTCCAGTTCAAACGTGATGGAGCGGGTATATTCTTTGATGGATTAGAAACTTTCAACTCACAAGTTACAGTACAAGTGAAAGCTTATCCAATCATTCAGGGTGAAAATGAACTTACTGTTCAAAGGTGACAAATCCTCCTCATGTTTGGTTTACTAGGACTACATATTGGACATGGACACTGGATGAAGGTTTGAAATATCATCCAACAGGTACACCACCACAGTATAGAAGTTCATATGAATGAAATATTGTATGATAGAAATTTTAAATTATAAATTTATTTTTGATTAAATGGATTTAAATTCATACACTCCTTATGAAGAATTAGCAGGAGTATATAATACATCATAGATGATATGATTAATGAAGCATTGAGTGATAATAGAAATGCTCTATCTAAGGAAAAATTAATGAAAATTCCATAATTCTGAATGTTATTTAAATTCAATCACTGCAGCAATTGGTAAACAGAATAAAGGTAAAACATTAACGATATTAAAACAATTATCAATTATTGCTAACACTTCCCCCTATTCACATGTGTTAATTTATATCAACCGTTCAGGTTCACCTTCAGATGATACATTTGAATCTTTAAGCATTTAATCAAAATTCCAATTATTTATTTATCTATCACAACAAGAAAGAAGCAGAAGATTATTTAAAAAACTTTTTATAATGTATAAAGAATTATATAATACAATCAAGAAGCAAGGATTAGAGGATAAAATTATTGATAAACAACGGGATGAATTATTTGAAACACTTTCTATTTCAAATTTTGATAGAGAATTTTTGCATTCACTCATTTTTCTAGATGATGCAGTGAAATCAAAACTAATAACAAACGAGAAATCATATTTTAATCAGTTATTAACTCAATGTCGACACATTCAGTGTTCATTCTTTATGGCTGTTCAATATTTCAAAGCATTAAGCACAAACATTAAATCAAATCTATCAACCCTTTTCATTTTCAGTGGGTTTAGTCGTCAACAGTTGAACGTTATGCTTTATCAAGTGAATTTACCAATGAGCATTAATGAACTTTACATACAATATCAGCAATTAGGTGAACATGGAAAAATAATAGTTGATTTAAATAAAGGAAGTGTTAAATTTGATTAACTTTTTATAATTAATTTTTATTTTTTATTTATAATTAAACATGACAGAAATAGCAAATCTTCTACAGGTTCCATTAAAACAAGGAACAAACAAAAAGGGTGCATATAATAGAACTATGAAAGTTCCTGATGGAATGAAAGAATTAGTTCATATTGTTGCTGGTCTTCAAAAAGATGTTAAACAAATGAGAAACGTTTTAACATTACCAGAAGCTCAAGCATATGCCAAACGTCAAGGTCCAAATTGGGAAGCACACGAAGCAGACATTACGGGTCCAAATGGAAAACCTGATGGTATAAATGAAGTTTTCATTACTGATGGTCAAGGTAAATTAAAGTCATAAATGGTTATAAATTAACTATAACTGATTATCCTAAACGTAAAGCATATAATGAACGTTATCCTATGCAATTTGATGAAAATGGAAAAGCTGTTAAACAATACATTGGAGAAGGTGAAAATGGTCCAATTTATTCATACCGTTATAATCCATATTCTTATTTCAATGAAGAATTAAATGCTATTGAAGAGGGACCGGATGGATTACCACGATATTCTAACCAGTTTGATGGTCAATATGCAAATATTAGACCTGAAATTTCAGCTAAGAAATTCTTTAAAGTTGCTTTATTCGATCCAGTTTTCGCAAATGTTAAAGATGAACTTAAACAGCAATTCCAACCAATTATAGTAGCAAGAATTGCATCAGGTGCTTTATCTCAAGCATTCAAAGATTTAATTAAGAAACCATTATATCAGCAACGAGGTTTAACTTATGATTTAGTTAAGGAATCAGATAAAAGAAAATTTGAGAAATCAGATGATTATAAGAATGCAATTAATGAATATATTCGGTCTATTAATTACAATGAACCAGCTAAAAATCAACTTCAAGAACAAATACAGGGAATAATAGATTCAAAACTTCCGGCAAAATAAAAGTTTAAATATATTTTTTTATTCGAATATAAATGAGAAGACGTTTCACTAGTCAAAAGAACACTAACACAAAAGCAGAGATTACGGTTGGTTATAACGTAAATGATGATAAATCACGAATTATTCAAAATGTTAAAGTTAATGTTAGCCCTGAATTAACAAGGTCAGCAACTCAACCAAATTTATTAACTCGTGACTTACCGAAAAAGGAGGAGGAGCAAAATAAAGAAGATGGAGACCCAATCATTTTATCTGAACCCGGTAAAGAACCTGTTGAAATTCCCACTTATCCAACATACCCAGCACCACTTGATAACCCATATAAAATAGACATTAATTCTGAATTAATGAAAATTTACCGTGATATAATAACTAATAATTATGATTCAATAATAAATTTAATTGATCAATCTGGTTTAATTATTTTACCTTATGAATCATTAATTCACATTATTGCCATTCTTTGTGATGTTCAAGATTCAGACGTTAAGATTCAATTTTTCATAGATGATGAGGTTTCATGCTGCGGAACAGTTGCAAAAATAAATCCTATAAAGGATATTAGCACAATTAAGATATCAAAGAACGGAACAACAACTGAACTTCATTTAACATATAATGATATTTATAATAAAATAGTTGATGAATATAAAATATCACTTGAAAAATTCTTTGTTAAGGCTATTTAATATTCAAGCATTAACATTATCGAATAATAATCCTTTGAATCATAATCAATAATAATTGACCTTTCACCAGTTTCTATCGTTTGTTTTATTTCTTTTTGTTCCCCACTATCCGGATCGGTCATTGTAATTGTTTTTGTTATAGTATCAGCTTTATCTTTAACTTCAATCTTTTTTCCATCGGGATATTTAAACCAAAATTCCAAAAATTCGATATTGTCAATCTGTTCATATTTAATCTATCAATTACATTTTTAATACCATCTGAAAATCTTATGAAATGGTCATTATATGGGTTTGATTGAACTAAATTTGAATGAAGTGAAATATAACCTGTTGATGAATATGACACTGACTCATATTTTCTGAAAACACTAAAATTTATAACATGAATGAATTTCTTATTCGTTGAATTTATGAATTCTTGAGGTAATCTTATTCTAGTTTTATTTATCACTGGAAAATAACGCTTTACCATATTTTTAATCGTAATAAAAATGTCAATTATCAATATTATTTCGAATAATAACTGTGAATTAAATTTAACAGTTAGCGGAATTTATAATGTTACTCTCGTTTCTGTGAGTGGTAAATTTAATCCCATTCTTTTAGACCCTTCAGATTATATATCATTTATTAAAGATGACCATGAGCCGCATAGCGGCGAGGTCGTAGACCTTGAAAAAACGTATGATATGTATATAAATAATGTGATAGCGAAATGGGATATTAACATGATTTTTGTTGTAAACAGAAATTCATCAAAAGTTACACCTCAGAAAAGCTAAAATATTGAATTTTTGGAACTTTTGATAGAGCACGTTTTTAAATATTAATTAAAGTAAATGTATATTTTGTAAAGATTCTTTTTAATAAAAAAATAGAATTTTGAAGAAGAACACAAAATCTTCTGAAAAATAATATCACATAAACTCATATTATTTTCTAATATATAACTATTTTATATAAAAATCAAATTCAATGATCTTAAAAGCGAAGGATAAACCTCAAAATTTACGAATATAATGAGTGGGAATATAATGCTTATCTATCATAAAACCATATGAAATATCAATTTTTGCTTTACGCCTAATTTTTGACGACAATTAGCAAAAAATGTTAAATGTTAACACTCAGTCCATTTGAATATGAAAAATAAAATTGACTTTGATTAAATGTTTTTATTTATCATGCAATTCTTCTTGCGACCAAAGATTTGAATAAAATTTCAAAAAATAAGATAGCTTAAAAAATAATATACGGTAGTGTTTACTAATAGATGAATAGTATATAAATTCTATTAAAATGGATTTGATCCAAAAAAATATATAAAATTTGATCATAAATAAAATTGTTTAGTAGTCATTTAAAATGATGTAATTATTCAAATTTTGCTAAGACCCATTCGTCTTTGATATATAACTCCCATTTTTGCATTTCTGGCTCGTACCAAAATTTTGAAACTTCGAATAATTCGTTAGGAGTGTAATTACTATTCGTTTTTGGATTAATATCGAGAGATAAATGTGGTGTATTGTTGTATTTTTCAATGAACTGCTGAACTGAGTCCTTGATTTGTTGAATATCATCCAACTCGTCTGGTAAAAACTTTTCTAAGCTTGGCCACAGGCGCTCCACCTTGCCGTTCTGTCTTGGCATATACGGCAAGGTGTGCTTCCAAACTATTCCGTTTTCCTGCATAACCTGGCCGAATTCACCGCGGTTTTCACCGCCGTTATCGGTCCAGATGCAGTAAGGAATAAACTCCTCTAAAAGTTTTCTTAAAACCTTCGCTGTTGAGTTGGAAGACTTGTTTTTCAATAATTTAGTTTTGAGAACTTTACGTGTCATATCATCCAATATGGCAAAAAATGGAAAAGAAACATTACCGTGCAGGTAATGAATATCGCAGTGCCATATCAAATTCTTTGATATGGCACGATATTTGGTAGGTGGATCTGCTGGTTTGTAATCTCTTTTTGAAGATAAACCTGATTCCATCATAAATTTTTCCACTTGATGATGCTTTATTTTTTGTAAATTGTCAAAAATTTGATCTTTTGTCAAATCTTCTATATCTTCAAATTCTTTTGCAATTTCTTCTTTTTCTTTCTCACAATCGGGATTTTGAGCAATATTTTGAAACCTTTTAATCAATAAATAAGTTTTTGAAATTCCTCCTTTATATTGTGAAACACAAGAATTAATTAATTAATTGTTTTTGCTCAAATGTTGGTGGATTTGGTTTTCTGCCGCGACTAACTTTTGGTAATTCGATTTCTTGAAGTTGAAATGCTCTTCTTATTGTATTTTCGGCAACATTCAATTTAATTTTATCATTTTCCAATTCAACTTCCTTTCCCACACTTTTGTAAGATTCACCTTCTTCTATTCTTCTTTTAGCTTCAAATAGCCATTCTCTGCTTATATATTTGGCAGTAGTCATAAAAGTGGTCCTTCTTTTGTGATAAGATTCAAATTTGAATGTGGATGATAAATAAAAACCAAAAATAATTGTTATAATTTAAATGAAGAAGTAATTTAAAACGATTTTATTTATGATCAAATTTTATATATTTTTTGGATCAAATCCATTTTAATAGAATTTATATACTATTCATCTATTAGTAAACACTACCGTATATTATTTTTTAAGCTATCTTATTTTTTGAAATTTTTTCAAATCTTTGGTCGCAAGAAGAATTGCATGATAAATAAAAACATTTAATCAAAGTCAATTTTATTTTTCATATTCAAATGGACTGAGTGTTAACATTTAACATTTTTTGCTAATTGTCGTCAAAAATTAGGCGTAAAGCAAAAATTGATATTTCATATGGTTTTATGATAGATAAGCATTATATTCCCACTCATTATATTCGTAAATTTTGAGGTTTATCCTTCGCTTTTAAGATCATTGAATTTGATTTTTATATAAAATAGTTATATATTAGAAAATAATATGAGTTTATGTGATATTATTTTTCAGAAGATTTCATTCTATATGCCTATGAAAAGTACTCTCAAAACTAACTTTTTCCTAATTATAATTAAATCTAGAATATTGTATTATGCTTAGTATTATTTCATTTTTCTCATTCAATTTAGAATTTACAAATGTCAAAAAATTGAGAGCTGTCACTTTTGATGAATTTCTGTTTATTACATTTTAAGTTATTTAAATGAATCATTTATCGTATGGTATGAAGAAAATTTTAAATCAAAACCCGATAAACTTTTTGAACTTGATGAAATAAATAACCTTATTAAATTCCCGCTGAAAATTAAATTTTGTACTCCTCATCTTCGTTCATTGTTGGGGATATTAAATTTTGAAAAAGATGTTGGGGATGTTTTGTATTCTGACACCGGTTCCAATTTCATTTTAATCAAATATGATAAAGTTAATACCCCAATGAGATTTTCACACCAAACATTTGACCCTAACTCTTACCCATCAATACAAAACATTTTATCCATCAACTTAAACACATTTTCTTTATCATATCCGTTTCAATTATCCGGGAATTCATTTATTCTTCATTCAAAAGATTTATCAAATATTAAATTTAGAATAACTGACCTATTTGATTGTGATTTAGAATTCATGAATGAGATATTATAGCAATTTCAAATAGAAAAAATAGCTGATGAGATAACGGATTAAATATTTATTTTTAAATCGTAATAAATGATTAAACAACAGCAACTTAAGGCGCAAAGCGCCCAGGTCCTTCAGACCATTACATACGCCACATATGCATATAATTCAAAGCCGGCAGAACAAACGCAAAGGTTGAAATATGGAGATTTGGAGATAGTATTGAAAAATGACCATTTCGAATTCGTTTGCAAAGGTGGTGCAGTGATATCAAATATAAAAGAAATTTTATTTATGAATTCTAAAATTAAAGGTATAACGGATGATATAACATCCATTCCACCAGAAGAACAGAGATATTACGCATTAAATGCATTTCCTAAAGTTTTGAAGATTGGAAGATTTAATTTAAATGAGGAATTCATAGAAGGTTTCCTAAATGACATAATGAAGAAGGTGGATAAGGAATATGTGGATAGTGAGTTAATGAAGAAAGCAGATAAGGAATACGTTAATACTGAATTAAATAAGAAGGTGGATAAGGAATACGTTAATACTGAATTAATGAAGAAAGCAGATTTAGTTTATGTTAATAATGAATTAAATAAGAAAGCAGATTTAGTTTATGTAAATACCGAGTTAAATAAGAAAGCAGATGTTGATCATACACATGTTCAATTCGATGAATTAAATAACAGAATTAATCAAACAAATGCAACAGTTAAAAGTAATTATGATAATTTAAATTTCAGAGTTAATGAAAATTCAAGAGTAATTAATCAAAAAGCATTTAAAAGTTATGTTGACCAGGAATTAAATAAGAAGGCAAATTTGGTTTATGTTGATGAAAAAGATAATGAAATTAAAGAAAAGGTTGAAGGGTATCATGAATGGACATTGGAGACTTTTAAAGTTAAAGCTGATACAGAATGGGTTTCAGGATGTTTAGACCTTAAAGCAGATAAAACTTATGTTAATGATAAATTAGAGAAGAAAGCAGATAAAACATATGTTAACGATGAGTTAGAGAAGAAAGCAGATAAGGAAAAAGTTATTTCATTCATTAATACTGAGTTAGCAAAGAAAGCTGATATATCATTTGTTAATGAAGAAATAAAACAATCAGAGGTCTATTTTACTCCACCATTTTTAAATTTTATGAAATCATCAGATAAAACATTTCAATCTATTGAATGGATATGTTACGATGGAGTGACCATGTATTTATTTTATACAGCTGGAGTGCTTTATTATTTTAAAACAAATGATTTTAAAAACTATGAATCATTTACTCCATCTGTTTGGAATCCTGATACACGAGAGCCAATCATTAATCCAAGAATTTTATATGTTGAATATAATAACGGTAAATTTATGGGAATGATAACGGTTGGAGATGATTTTTGCCCTTTTTATTCATTCGATTGTATCCAATGGTTCAAATGTAGTTTAAATCAAGATGCTAAATTTAAATATCCAAATAATCCTATTAGATGCGTTAATAATAAATGGGTACTAATTTATGAAGTCAATCAAATTTTCATTAGTGAGGATGGGATAAATTATTATATGTTTAGTATGATGTCATCAGATTTGGAAATTGATTATACAAGTAAATGGTATTACATTAACAACATGTATTTTATCCTACAAAATGATAAAATTTATAGATCATATTCAATACCATTTGGTCGTTTTGAACAAATTTTTCAAGCTGATGGAGACATTGAAGCTTTATGTTATGCTTCGAATGTTTGTGTTCTTGTTTCAGGTTGTATGGTGTATTCATATCCTGTAAGTTATAACAGACATATTTATTTATCACAAGATTTTTCACAGGATCCAGAGAAAACACCAAGTTGGGAATTGGTTTATTCATTCACTCCAAAACTTACTCGAAATTATAGATTTACAATTTTTTTATATTGATGGTCATTTTATTGCTTTAGGATGTGGTGATTTAGTAAATATCAGTAGTGATGGAAGAAACTGGTCTGAAATCACAAAATTTCAAGATGTTAGAAAAGCAATTTTCAAAAATAATACGTTAATATTGATGACAAGACCAATTTTAATTTCTTACCCAGTTTCAATATTATATAATAAATTCAATATTCATAATGGATTAAATACAATTCTTGAGATGATTTACCCCATTGGTTCAATATATACATCAATGAATTCAACAAATCCAGCTGATGTATTCGGTTTCGGTACATGGCAACAAATAACCGATCGTTTCCTCTACTGTGCTAATAGTTCAAAACAAACCGGTGGAAGTAAAAAGATTACTGGCGAAAATTTACCTGCTCATAGTCATTATGTTAATTTAAACACTCAAGACTCGGGCTGGCATAGTCATACTTATACTAATTTGTTTGAATATCCTGATGGAAATAATGGATTTCCTGATGGATGGTCTGATAGAGACGCTAGCAGGGGTAAATATTGGTACGGTAATAAAAATAGATGGAATGAAGGATATACTTCAAACGGTTCGGGTACACATTCACATAATGTTTCAGGATATACACAAACGACAGGAAGAGGTACAGATTACATGCCACCTTATATGACGGTTTATGCATGGTTTCGCGTTCAATGAACGCTCAATGTTTGTTTCACAAACTTTAGAACGGCATAATTTAAATTTTTATTTTAGTATAAATGAAGATTCTACCATATGGTGTTATTGGAAGAGATAAAGATGGAAACCCAATATTTGATCCAATGTTAAAATTAAAGTTACTGACAAGACAACAACTTGAAAAGTTGCTGAAACCAAAACAGAACGAAAAAGATAAAAAATGAGAAAATGAGAAAGAAAAAAATTTAAATTATGCAATTTTATTTTTAACATAAATGACAAAATTAATTAAGCCAACTATTTCTAAATTAATGATACCAATGAAATCATTTCATGGAGTACTTATCCCAGGTTCTTCACAATTAGCCGGGGCAAGTGTTGTGGCTCAAGGTGGAACATTAGCGAATCCATTCAAATTATTAACTAAAGATGAACTTAATAAAATGATGATAAAATAACTGATAACAAAATTTTATTTTTATATAAATGGATACCCCACAAGCTTAAAATTTACCACGAATCATAACAAGGGAGGAAATGATAAAAATGATGCAAGAACGAATTAAAAACAACAAACCACGAAAACCGAGAAGATGTGGTTATGCAGTAATGATGGAAAGAAGAGCCCAGAAGGGTTCTGCGTCTCGAAGAGACGTTGTCGAAGAGGAATAAAAATTAAATTTGGATAGAGTTTAAAAATTCATCTTTATTAAATTCATCTCTTCCAATCAATTTATTTATTCTATTAAATTCTTTTATTTTTGCTTCACCTAGTTTAAGGATTGAACGGTAAGTTTCTAATTTTTCGATTATTTCTTTCCTCTCTTTATCATTCTCAGTTCCTTTAGTTTTATGGGCATCAGCCCCGCCGCATTGCGGCTTCTTTTTGTAATAGCATATTTTCGATTTTATTCTGTTTAATTTCTTTTTATATTCATTGTCTGGACTCTGAATCACTCATTTCTTACGAAATAAAAAAATTAAATATTATTTAAATATAATGGAGTAATAAAATAAATCGGAATTTCTATTAATTTATTGTCAACTTCAACTAATGCATTGCCGTTAATATATCTAACAAATTCAGCTATTGTGTCAAATCTTCGTCTTCTTTTTGTCATTGATTTATCAGTTTTTCCATAATCGAGATGAATCAAAACTTTATCCCCTTGTTTAAAATTCATGAGCCCCGAATTAATTTGTTCACGTTTAACATCATTTAACCTTTCAATTTGCTTTCTAATATATTCCCATTCTTTTGAAATATCATTTTTCATTTCCACTGGTTTCATGTTTATAGTTCTATGCCATGTATTATTGTAATAATATACTAACTGTTGTATGAGGGAGTCATGATTTCCATTCCAGTATATCTGACCGTTAACCCCTAACGCATCTCTAAGAGTTCTCATTACCGCATCAACTATTTTATTATGAAACGTATATGGAGAGGATGAAAAGTAAAAATTAATTTGTGGGAAATAATGAGCCATAGCTGCCTGAAATCCTTTATCACCATCACCCCTAATATTATCTACTCTTTCATGATCTAGTAAGTATTGAATAGCTCTTCTTGTTTCCTGTTCTGTTTTCCCTTTCACCGGAATGCAATATAAATATCTAGTGTTAATGTTAATGGCGAATAAATAAGTAACGTTTCCTTTTGAATATTCTAAATGATCGATTTCGTATGAATATGGATATGGTGCAAATGAAGGGCGACTAAATTTTTCCTTTAACGGTTGAATTTTCCAGTATATCTGTTTAGCAATTGAGAAACAACATACAGCCTTAGTGTGTGCTCCTGTTAATGCAGTCTTACCGATTGTTAAGCGAGTCATTGACCCGTTTTTAAGTTGTAAATTAATATTCTGACCATCGAAAATAACTTTATCATTTATTATATCCAAATAATTTTTAGGTGTTAATTGCTTATTTTGTCGTAAACTAACACCTTTCATTTTTTGTGCAATCTTTTTGAAGAAGTCTTCACCTATCATTCCATTAAATGAAGTATAACATTTAGGACATAACGCCACCATGTTATCACCTTGTTTCTCAATTGCTAAACCCAATAATTTTTTCTCATGTGCTTTTTCTTCAGCTTTATTCTTTAATTTAGGTTTAAATTTCTCATCAAAACAGAAGAAATCAAAAGGTGCGAATTTGAAAATGTTTTTATCATAAAATTTTTTATCGGTTACAATCGCCTGAAATGCTTGAGTGTTAGGAAAACTTGGATCGCCAGCAATAGCCCAATAAGATGAATCAGTATCACCTTCAATGAAATGAAAACGATTAACATCCATGCATTTATACATAAAATCATAAATGAAAACTAAATACCAGTATTTTGCGTTATCTAAAGTAAAAAATGCCTCTTGTAAACATGTATCACATCTATAAAATCTATCTTTGAGCATCACTTGATACGTATCCTCTCCTATTTCTCTTATGTTTTTAAACTTATTTGACATACATGCAACGCGTGCCTTCTGTGCATTCATTATTTTAGTCTTTGCGTAATTTTGTGTATTCATTGCATCGTAACCATATGATCCATTAAGCGAAATCTTGCAAAATAAACTTTTTCCTTTATTTCCTTCTAATTCAGCCTTTTGTCTTTCGTTCATAAATTCGTTCGCAAATTCATTAAAGCAAGTGTTTTTAGTAAATGTTAAAATTGATTGAATGTCATCAATGATAAAATTAAACCTATCGATTAGATACCATAGATAATAAGAAGAAAATGGTTGATATTGGTTGTGTGTTGATGCTAACTGAGTTAATTTCCTCTGTTTCTGGTCAACTGGTAGATTGTTTGATTTCATGTAATTATACATAAAACTGCCAATTTTTTTCATCTGTGATAATATCTAAGTTTCTTATTATCGGTAAAAAGTTTATGTAATCATTAATGTATTTTTCATCAATGTGACCCTTTACTTCAGCCACGAATAAAGTATTTTTCTTCTTAATTATTCCCAGTGCTTTTGCTTTCTTTGTTGCTGTATCACAAATGATAACACCATTCAATCTTCCCGGCATATACATTTTATGGTCAGTATATTGAATGAAATCATGAGGATTAGATGAAAATGATGAAGGATATAATGAATTAAAGTCAACACCAACGAAATGAGTCATAATGTTGGTGGTGTCCTCATTTGATACAGTTTTAGTTTCTGGACTATATGAAAGTTTATTAATGTGCGTGATTCCTTTAAGATTTACTCTATGTTGAACATTTGATAGACCACCAGTAAATCCATTACGGAGAATGTGATAAGCTTCAACTGAATCTAAAGTCATTGGTAAATTATTTTTTAATGCATAATTTCTTAAATTGATTCTTAAACGTTGAACATCTTCATCTTTATTTGATTTCACGACATTGCAATAACAACACATTAACTGACAATTTTCTTTGGTATGTGGTTTTTCATTATCGATTCTATCCAATGTTGGTTTATTTGCATATGTAAACGCTTTACCACACATTTTGCATTTAGATGAAAGGATTAAATCGTGATAGTATTGAAAATCATCCATTGAAACATTATTTTTAATATCCCTTTCTGCTTTTTCATCTTGTTTCTTATATGATTCAATTTTATATTTCCAATACTTTTTCGTTAATTCAAAACTTGATTCTATCTCTTCCTCAGGATATTTTTCATTAGGATTAAAGTCTTTATATGCTAAAGCGTAACGAATCATTGAAGCATTCGATGATAAAGAAAGATTATGAAGCATATCAATTTTATAAACAAATGTTTCTTCAATAATTTTATCGATTGGGTCAATCATAATTTCAACATCTTTATTGCAATAATGAATAAAATATTCTAATCTATTCTTAAAGTTTTTAGCATCATTGAGATATATTTGATAATCACTATCTGATATAGTTTCTTGGGTTAATGCTGAATAAAATGAATCTTGAGTGAATGGTTCCACTTTATATAATTCTTCTTCGTAATTCTTCCATGTGATGAATTGATAAGGGAAAAAGGATTTAACACGTATTTTATTGTTTCCGAAATTTTGAGTGAATTGGTCTAATGTTCCACCCGCTATATAATTTCTGATGTCAATAAATCTTAATTCATATGGACAGTTTACTTTCTTTACTATGACTTGCTTAAATTGTGAAGATGAACCCAGCATTGATTTTATTTTCCATTTTGCAGTGTTTAAATCACGAAGAATTAAATTTAAATCAAACTTTCCCGAATTAAAACCTATGATATTCACTTTATTGAATTCCTCATCTAGAAGTTCTTTAAATGCTTCCTTCTGTTTTTCATTTAATGTATGGGACAAAGTCCCCGCCGTTTGCGGCTTCAATAATTCATCGTATTGTTTCATATTTGATTCAACAACTAATGAACAGGTTGAAAATAAAAATTCAATCCAGTCAGAAATAAAAGAATCACTTGAAGTTAAACAAAAATTCCTCGTATACGTTTTATCATTTAATTTAACCGTTGATGATACCATGAATGGTTTTAAGTAAGCATTCAAAGTTGCACACTCAGAAAGTTGTAATTCTTCTTTAGTCTCTAATGTTTCAAAGTCAAAAGTAATATAATATCTTGTCGGTTTATAATATTTCTGCAAATTGTGAGCTAATAACCACTGATATATCTTCTGTTTCGTAATATGTGGTGCATATGGTTGCTGTGTCTTTTGCAACTGAACGTCTTGAATTAATCTCCCATTATTTTCTTTACATTTCTCACAATGCTTTAAAAATCTTCTTTGGTTTTTCCTTTCTGGATCATCGCGGATAGAATAAACTTCTTCTTTACAATATGGACAAACTTTATAGCCGGTGAGTGCTTCAACGTCTGTTATTCTGTCAGCGTGAAGTTTTCCACATGGACTCTGTGTTAATAAAATATTTACTGTTTCAAATTCTGGATCTATCATTATTGATTCCACTAATGGAAAGTCTACCTTGTTAATGTCTACGTCTTCTGGTTGAGGATCACAATAATAGAAATCAATATTAACGTTTAACATTCTCGCTAATCTCTCACTTTCTGATGAAATGTCAAATCCTTCATAGGCATCTATTGCTTCATTTAAATAGCTTCTACGAGTTTTAGGATTAACACCATCAGGAATGTTATAGAAGCGTTTAAATAACCTTCTACCTTCTGCTCTTATTTGATTATCATTCATTTTAGCTGTTCCGTTTTTGTTCATTTATGTAAGAATAAAAAATTAAAAAATAAATAAAAATAAAGTTTATTTTTAAAGTCCGTAAAATGAATTAAGGACACATAAATTTTTATCATCTGCAACGTGACGGATACATTTTAATTTACTCAAGAATGCATATCCTGACACATTAAATCTAATTCCTGTCTTATTTAATTTCACAACTTTGAAAAGGAATGTATGAATAGCTATAAAATGATGAGAAGATGTTTTATGGGTTGCTTCCATTTTTTCTGAAATAAATGAATAAATATAATGCTTATACGTTTTCATATCTTTTATATTCTTAATAACGAATGGTATAGACCTTTCAACTTCGTCTTCCTTCGGTGCTGTTCTTTCATATGAAACATTATTGGTATCTTCAATAATGAAACCAAAATCACACAAAATTTTATAGGTTCCAATGGTTTCTTTTGATATTTTAGGGGCGGTGCCATGTGAGGTGAAATTTATCATACACCGATTGGACCTTTTGCTTTCCCGAAAACATAGAATTTATATTGGGGGCCAAATATATGTGCATATATCTATACTAATCAAGCCATATTTACTTATATAGTATTGAGGAATAATGTGTTTTATATAAGATATGAATTTCAAAAATTTTGTTTTATTTCATTTTGAATACAATGAGGTATCTATATATATACTCTATATTGTGTTTGTAAACTCATTTTGGTCACATATCCATTTTTTAATCTGCATCTTATTTGAGATTTCAAATTTTTATCGACAATCATATATGATCACATCGGCATTTGGAGATACTTATCTTGTATCTCCAAATATCGATGTGATCATTGTATTTAATTGTATATTGACCAAGAGATTCCGATGCAGAATATTCAAAGTAGATAGTTTTTCCATTCTGTACACATAGGTGCAGGGTCTATCACTGGAACCCTGCACCTATATGTGCAGAATGGGAAAAGCTTGCACTTTTACCTTTCGATGCGAATGTTGCCGACTCAAATGATTTAGAAAAATGAACTGAAAATTTCCGATTGATTTGATTATATATCAAATTGCAAATGGAATTTGAACTGCTTGCAAGATAATATGTTATTTGTTTCTAAATATTTCCTTCCATATGCAATATTTTATTGATTTTCCTGTACTTATAAACTTTTCATCATCAATATGTTTTAATGCACTCACTTAATTCCAAAATCATTGTAAGACATGTTAATGATCGGTGCTTCACACCGCTATTTACGATAAGATTGCTTTACAATAAAAAGTGACATGTTTGTAACATGGGGGAAACTCCCCTCATCATGATAGAGAAACACTTAAATCATTCTATGAATATGTACTCTCTGGAATCAGTCAAACCACAAAATACGATTTTTATCAAAAATCTTTCATTTTTTGCAACGAATTAATCACAAGAAACCGCGTTAGTGAGAAATTAGACTTCTTCTTTAACTTCATTATCTTCTTTTTCATGGATATTTTCACGGTAACCACTTGCTATCCCGCTCATTTCTTTAAACATCTAATTCCACCTGCGTTCTTACCTGAAAACGATATAGCGCACTATTCACAGAAAATCATCATCAGATACACAACTGTTATAATAAGTTTAATATCGATGCTTCTTTTATGCATTCCGACGTATATTTATCTAAATTTTGCTTCAGAGTCTAAAATGAAGACCAGTCTTGCCACTGTCGCATACGCTGTTTTAGAATACGTTCCATTGCTCTTAACGCCAATACAAGGCTATCTTTTTGGAGCTATCGCATTAACAACCATCGCAGACGAGTCTTTTTCTAAGGCAGAGCCTCTTGCTTGGATCTTCAATGGCATAGTATTCGTTTTCTACATCTTTGGTACCGTAATTTGGCGTTCAACCACTTGTTATCAACTTCCCATCAAAAAAGGATACTTTGGAACGTTCACTCAACCGTATGATTTCATCGATGTCATCATTACTTTCTTGATAGCTGCTTGCCATCCATTTTTATCCACTCAATTTGGAAAATACGCGATTGTAGTTTTGGTTATGATGTTCTTTTACGGCTGCTACAAGCTCTACTACTCAGGAGCCCAGACATATACATCGAATTTCGGAGAAATTCTTCATATTAAGCTGAAAATCGACTATATTCTTTACGGAATTTTCTCGATTGTCTCTTTATTCTTCGGAAGGGGATCATTCGTTCTTATACCAGTTGGATTCCTTCTTTACTTCCTTTCATTATGTTTCTCCGTCGCATTTATTAACTTTTACCACACGAACGGCAGAGATGGCTCCGCATCGGTATTTGATATCAAGAATACTCCTACAGATGCATCTGCAGTTGCCAAAGTAAGGTACGCTTGCATTCACGCTTGTCCAGAAATCGCAGATATCTCTTACCTCAACGATATAGCTCAAACCCGATCATCGATGCAATTACTAGTCGATATTACGCGTATATGTCTTGTCAAAGGCATAAATTTGGACGAAATCCAAATCAAGGCTCCAATAATTACTCCAAACGCCAGATCTTCCTTATATTTCCTTGCCTACCAAGTGAGTATCTTCCAGCATACCTTCGAAGATTTTCACCTCACATGGCACAACCCCGATATTTTATCTAATAAATCAAAAACTTTATCAACACCTGTGCATTTATTTAAAAAAAAAAAAGGTAGTGGGGCTTCCAGGCACTTCGTGCCCTCTAGCCCCTAAGAAACTAGAGGAGGAATGATACAAAGATCAGATGAAAAAAATAAAAATATTATAATAAAATTAAATTTTTAGTCTTAAATTGTTTTTTTTATTCGGTATATTCTGAATCTTGAATGTCTTGGAAATTTTCTTCTTCACTCTCTGAGGTGAGGATTTCTTCGACTTCTTCTTCTTCGCTCTCTGAGGTGAGGATTTCTTCGACTTCTTCTTCGCCATTGGGAGCAACAAATCCTGCGATGAAAACTTTGTATATACCTTCTTGAGGAGTCTCTATGATGAAAGTCGTATTGTTGAGGAAATGGAACTCGACATCTTGAACAAATTGGCAACTGCTGTGTGTGAATTTTGCAATTGTGAGAGGCTTTCCTTTAAAGCCCTTGGGAAAGCTTGAGATAGTTACTGTTCCTCCATATGGAACTCTGGCAGGAATATCTAAAGCAACAGTTGTTATAACGTGGAAATTGTCTTGAAATTCTGGTAAAGGTTGTATACAATATAACCGTTTTGACTGTCCTGGTTTAGTAAAAAAGTATACGTAAAAGGACCTTTCACCATGTTCATTCAATTCTTCCAAATAATTGTATGAATTTGGATATATACGGACAAATTCAGCAATTTTAACTTCTTGTAAATGCTTCTGCAAGTTCTTTGGAAACAAGTGAATGAACTGGTCAATAGCTTGCAACGCTATGAGATTGGCAGTAACGGGTAAATATGAAGCAAACATGTCAACAAGTACGCCAGGGTCTTTTATTTCGTTTTCAAGAGGCTGAATGGCATCCATGACAGCTTGAAACATCTCGTTATAATCTCGATTGTCTTCTGAACCCCACTGTTCATTTAACTTATCTAACAATTCTAACCTTTTCTTTGCGTATTTTCTACGAACTTTCTCTGAAAGAGGAGTGTCGCTATCTTGTGTGTCTTGAATTTGAGACTTAAATTGTTTGCTAAAGGCGAGATATCGTGTTTGCGACCTAGTGGTCATTGCAGAATGTGTTTCTGTATTTTCGGGTGGTTGTGTTTCTGTATGTTCGATTGGAGTCTGATTGGTATGAACTTCTTCTGAAAATGCTTCTGTTCCGATAGTTGTTGTTGCCTGACCTGTTGGCTGAGCTGTTTCTTTGTGCAAATGCATATTGTCCAACAATTTGTCTTGAATTGTATGAGGAAGTTGCTTTGGTATTATAGGAGGTCGTAAGGGTTTTGAGAATGGTGAGACATAAGTTGTAGGAACTTTAACTGCAGAGGTAGTCGACGAATTGTTTGCGACACTTTTTCTTCCTTCCATTATGAAAAATGAACTGTTTTTTTCGGACAACTCATAGAAAAGTTTAAAATAAACCGTTTTCGTCAACGGAGACCCCTTCTATTTTTTTATTTTATTTAATAGTTACCGTTGGCAAACCGTTCCATCTCAAATATTGAATGAACTATAAACGTTTTTTGTTTTCTATATATACTTTTTTGTCCAACGGTAAAACTTTTTACACAACGGTTTTTGAGAGTCGTCGCCGTTGACTTTTTTGTAGAGCACTCAAAATAGTATAACTTTGTCCGGACAAGTAAGGGTCTATCGTCGCTACAGGAAAAGTTACAGGCGTTCCAAGGAAGTATACTTTGAGAAGCCTTTTCCCCCTTATAGAATGAGATAGGACGGTTATTTTACAAAACTGACAACACTTTGACCGAGTAGTTTTTTGAGCTGAACAAAAAGTGTCATATAAACATCTGTCAAAAACCGCTTTTTAACTTCACTTAAAATGCCACGTAAGCTACGTAAGAATATACGTAAGAGGAAGAGAGCATTGAAACATCCAATAGTAAAACTGACACCACAACAACAGTTGCAACAACAAATGATGAATGACCCCACTATGTTGCAACAAATGTCAAGCAACCCTATGCTTTTAAACCGAGTTATAGGTGCACAGAGTGGAGGTTTAAGAGCGGCACTTTTAGCGAAAATGGCAGGCTATGGTGGAGCTGCAGACGGAACAGCTTATAACCCTCAAAGTCAAATGAATTTGAGTTCACTCAAAAATCAAATAACAGATGTCAAAAAGTCAAACATAGACATACAGAAACAAATAAGTGAAAACGAAAAGAAACTAGAATATGACAGACACACAAAGAAACTCAATGAGTTAAACGTAGAGAAAAAGAAGAAAGAAGAACAACTGAAAGAACTAAGTACAGAGGAATATGCGAAAAAAGTGTCAGAAAAAAGCAGCAGAAGTAGCAAAAATGGAACAAGATGTTATAAATTTGAAAAACCATACTACTCAATATAAAGTACTGAAAGATGAAGAAATAAAACAAAAAGCCCTGAAGACATATATGGATAGCGATGAGTATAAAAAAGAAGTTGAAGCAAATGTAAAGGCAGAAAAACTTTTACAGTTGCAAAACCAAACCGTACAGTATGAAAACTTAGCACAAGAAAGTAAAAATAACGACGCAGCCATGCAAAAGGCAATGAAAAGCGCAGAATATATAAAAGCTAATAATGACTGGTTAGATGCCCAAGCCAACGCTAAAGCAGCCCAACTTATAGGGTCAATAAGGACAAAAATACAAGCGGATGAAGACAGTTCAAATGAAGCTTTAATGAATGCTGACTTTAAGAAGCCTTCGAAGCTCTTCATAGTAAGGTGAAACTAGTGAACGACTTCTCATCTGGAAAGAAACTGAAGTCTGAAGGTTTCGACAAAGAGTTAAGAGAAGTAGCACAAAATATGACGAAAATAACAGATGCAGCAACGAGACAGGCAGTTCAAAGTGCCTATGACGCCGTTAGAGCAACTGTTGTGGAAAGTCAAGAAAAAGAGTTACAACAGACCAAAACAGACCTAGTAAATGCTTTCTTAAAAACGAAAAGTCAGGTAGGACATTATGCTGCAGATGGAACATATGTGCCAGCTGGTGGAACTTATATACCAGCTGGTGGAACTTATATACTAGCTAGTGGAACTTATATACCACCAAACCCTCCAAGAGAAGCACCTGCACCAGGACTACCTAAAACATTTACATCGTCACATGGACACAGACACAGGCATGCACCAAAACCAACACAACAACCAACAGTTCAAAATCAGCACCAACACAACAGTTCAAAACACTGCACCACAACCAACAGTTCAAAACACTGCACCACAACCAACAGTTCAAAACACTGCACCACAACCAACAGTTCAAAACACTGCACAACAACAACCACAAACAGAGCAAGGACATAAAAGAAGTAGAGAACAAGGAAACCAAGAATTCTTAAAAATGCTTAAGGAAGATTGGTTACCCAGATACTCTTGACTTTAGTGACAGATATAAAGAAGCTATTAGAAAGTTCAAGGAAGGAAATACTGACCCGAACCTATTTAGCTTTATGGTTCAGCACCAAATGGGATATAATTTCAAACCTGGAAAATACAAGCTCGCTAAGGGATATGATTTAATAGCATATCATCCAAATGACATGATGAATTTACTCCGAGATATTTGGTGTCAGAGCTAAATGATAATTCAACTCTCTTCATGAAACGCGTAAAAAATAGAGACGGAACGAAAGAAGAAAGGTTATGAGCGGATGACTTAGATAGGGAACTTTTAAAAACGGTCTCGGAATATATGAAATGCCAGCAGATGAGGTACAAGAAACTCCACAGGAAGAAGTTCAGATACAACCAGACATGGAAGAAATAGTTCAGCAACAACAGCTAGAAGAGCCTGAAGGAAACGAACAAGTCCCTCCTTTGGAAACTAACTTCACAGAACTAGATGAAGATTTGGAACAGCCGAAAAATCTTGACCCTCAACAAGTGTATGCGGAGAATATGGAATCTTTCCAAGAGTCTAAGAAAAATTCGGCTGACATAGTAGAAGAATATCGAAAAATGTTCGCCGACATACAAAAGACTCCAACATCAGATGAAAATATTCAGCATAGAATGGAAGTACTGAAAGAAAATGTACGCAAATACAATAATCCTTTTTACTTACGACCATATAACGTTCAATCTTTGGCTGAACTCGGTGAAAATAAAAGGTTAAATTTCAACAAAACATATAGAAATGAAACATTGTTTAAAGTTCATTCAGAACCTAACCAATATGGAAACAAACCTACTTTTGTTTCTGCAGACTATGGAACTACAATGAGATGGGGTCATAAAGCTAATCCGGATAGGTGGTTCATAAACTTACAACCACAATTCCA